ATAGCTTGATTCATATTTTTTATTTTGTTAAAGGAATAACACAACAGATGTTCATCATAAAAAAAAATTCAAATAATCTAGAATGTAAAAAGGGGAAAGTAAAATAACCTGAATAAATTCCCAAATTTCTACCAACTAGAGGTAACTATTGATAACATCGATTTTTTAAAAAGGGGGATCATATAATATTCTGTTTTATATTGTTTTTTCTACATATTATACATAGATATTATTTTAATAAATATAAATCTTCACGTACGTAGCAGCATAGCCTTCTATTATATATATCATAATTTATTTAATCCACATTAATTGCACGTGGGTAAACAACTTGACGATCAACACCTTTATAAATTCATCTCTTCACACATTTGTCAAAACATAAATAACAAACTAGGAAAAAATATTTACAACATATATAAAAGGCTAATTTCTTTACTACTGGGAGTTTCTACAAATACACAAGAAACAGATTAGTAATCCAATAGAAAAATGGGCAAAGGATAGGAGCAGAGAATTCACAGAAGATTCTTAAAAAATGGTTCTTAAACACATGGAAAGATCTGCAGCTTTACTTATAGTAAGAAAAATGACCATTAAATGTATGAAATAGCATTTTTTAATCTTTCAGCTTGACAAAGATAAAAACAAGACTGTTAATACACTATTTCCAATGGAGTAGAGAAATACATCCTCATGCATTGTTGGTCAGCATAAACTGATAAAACCTCTTTGGAGGGCAATTGGGTAAGTAGCTAAGAACATTTTATTTATTTTTTTTATTTTTATTTTTTTTTGTGAGGAAGATCAGCCCTGAGCTAACATCCTTGCTAATCCTCCTCTTTTTGCTGAGGAAGACCGGCTCTGAGCTAACATCTATTGCCAATCCTCATCCTTTTTTTTTTCCCCCAAAGCCCCAGTAGATAGTTATATGTCATAGCTGTACATCCTTCTAGTTGCTGTATGTGGGACGTGGCCTCAGCATGGCCGGAGAAGCTGTGCGTAGGTGCGCACCCGGGATCCGAACCCGGGCCGCCAGTAGCGGAGCGCGTGCACTTAACCGCTAAGCCACGGGGCGGGCCCGCTAAGAACATTTTAAATGCACATATCCTTTGACACAGCAATTTCACTTCTAGGACTTTTTCAGATATTCTCACAGATGTGAACAAAGAGGCATGAACACAGATGTTCACTGCTGTATTGTTAATAATAGCAATACACTCAAAACAACCTAAACATGAATAGCAGTGAGTATATGTGTTACCACTTGTGTGAACAGGAGGATATTTATATTTTAATGATTTTGTATACAGGTATGATAATTCTAGAAGAATACATAAGCAATTGCTAACAACGGTTGGTTCCAAGAAGGGAGGTGGGAAAGGATACATCCTTTTCATTATATAATATCTTTTGAACTGCTTAAATTTTCACAATGGGTAGACATTATCTATTCAAGAAAATAAATAATTAAAAATTCACATCTATTTGATGAATGAAGTTTAGCACGTTTTTTTTCCTTCTGTGAACTCTGTTCATATCCTCAGTTTTTAAAACTTTGCTCAGTTATCTTACTTATTGGTTTTTAAGAGCTCATTATATATTAAGTACATTTACTCTTTGCTGCAGATATTGCAATTTTGTTTAGTGGTTGAATTTTAGAATTTCGTGAGTTTCCCCATAATTATGAGGCATTTAAGGTAGTTTGCCAGGATCCTAAAGACGTGTTCCCATCTTTTTACGCAGTTTTCCATCCACACAGATGTATGTTTGCACAGTGAGGTGTTGTTTCCCAGCTTCTTGAGTCATCCTGGAGCTGCACCATTCCTTCCTGCTCCTGGCACTGGAGCAAGGGTGTAGACTCCAGGTCAACAGCTGGCATCAAAAGAAGCCTGAAGATAGGTGAAGCTTAGCACAGCCAGGCATCCATCAGCCTTGCTCTGGAGCCTGCTGTGAGGATGCATGTGAACGTGCTGCTGCGAGGGGGCAGGGTAACTTCTGGGACCAGGTGGCTGTGGTGGGAACAGCAGGCAGAGCTGCCAAGCCCCTCGACTCCTTCAATATGTGGCCCAGGCGTCCCAAACGCTGGCCTTGAGGAACGGAGGGAGTTCTCCCAATTTTGGAATGGGAGGTCATGCTCCCACTCTGCTCACCCTGAGTCAGAGTGAAAAATACTGACTGTTGCATCCAGCAAAGGGGATGCTTTAGCACTTGGAGGAGAAAAAGGCCTTTCAGGCTTATCCGAGGCAGGCCTCACTTCCAAGGAAGAATGCCATCTCCCCACCATGCCCAGCGGCTTTTCAACAGACCAAGGCTACCACCCCCCACCTTGCAGATCAGCTGACAGCCTCCAACACCTCCTGCTTCCCTTTGGCTTCCTGCAAAGCAGCTCCCGTCCCCTCCCACCCCTGTAAAAGCTGTTTTTCTGAGCATCAGGCCTGAACGTAATCTCCTTTGGAAGCTGAAGAGGCTTGCTCTGTTTTTGCAGCCAATACTTCAATGCAGAAGCTCTGGTGGCGTTTTATTTTTTATTTTTATTTTTTTGTGTGTGAGGAAGATCAGCCCTGAGCTAACATCCATGCTAATCCTCCTCTTTTTGCTGAGGAAGACCGGCTCTGAGCTAACATCTATTGCCAATCCTCCTCCTTTTTTTTTTTCCCCCAAAGCCCCAGTAGATAGTTGTATGTCACTGTTGCACATCCTTCTAGTTGCTGTATGTGGGACACGGCCTCAGCATGGCTGGACAAGCAGTGCGTCGGAGCGCGCCTGGGATCCGAACCCCGGCCGCCAGTAGCGGAGCGCGTGCACTTAACCGCTAAGCCACGGGGCCGGCCCCTGATGGCCTTTTAGATAAACGTATTCCTCTCCTTCCTCCCCCAGCTTTTTCTGGAAGCAGCTTGCCAAGGTTTACTGGAACAATATGGCTCCTGCCCCAACACCAGCCATGACCTTGTGAAGGGAGAAGGCACTGAGCCACGCAAGGGCATGACCAGAGGAGCTTAGAAAAACAGAGACCTCCAGAGACAAGAAGATAGAGGTTGAAGGGGCACAAGCAGGGGCTGGAAGAGTCTGCAGACTGTGCACAGCAGTGTGTCTCATCCTCTTCTCTTGTCTGGGCCTCGGCCTTCCTGGAGCTGCTGATATCTCTGCTGTCTCTTCTCTTCTGCAAAACCACAAGAATGCAGGTTGAGACTGCTCAAAGGCTTCTAGTAATGTGCTGATAATTTCCTCTAAGTGGCTGCTCCCTTGCAGACCGACTTCACCAACCTATAATAATTCACTTTCACTTTCAGCTCTAGGCTCTCCATTTGTACTTGAGGCCAGAGTAGCACAGCGCGGCTCCAAGCTCTGTCCACTGGGCTCAGACAAGCAGGGCCCGAAACAGTTCTTCTAACATGGAAATTTATAATGAAATAGGGGGCCTGTGCTTAAAGACATACCACAGAGTAAATATAACATCTGCGCAGGCTCTCGGCTGACCCCAAACCACAGAATGTAAAGAAGAAAAGGTGGAGACACAAACTTTCTGTGGGGAATGGTTTGGGCATGCCCAGAAACAGGCAGATAAGACCCCTTCTGTTCTGGAAAGCTGAGGTCAAACAGCTCTGTGTGAATCCAGGCCCCAAACATCTCCTGAGGAAAAGAGTATGTTGTTCTAAGCCTTACTCTAAAGCCTCATATATTTGCAGAAATAAAATTGGTCTTTTTTTTTTTTTTGAGATTTTATTTATTTATTTTCCCCCCAAAGCCCCAGTAGATAGTTGTGTGTCACAGCTGCACATCCTTCTAGTTGCTGTATGTGGGACGTGGCCTCAGCATGGCCGGAGAAGCAGCGCGTCGGTGCGCGCCCGGGGATCCGAACCCGGGTCGCCAGCAGCGGAGCACGCTCACTTAACCACCAAGCCACGGGGCCGGCCCAAATTGGTCTTTCTTACCCTGTGCAAAGTGCTAAGGCTACCCAGACAAATAAGCATAGTCATCGAATGGAAACAGACACTTGTAACATGGGATGATAAATAAAATGCTAGGTCAGGGTCAAACACAACTGCCAGCGCCTCCTCACGAGAGGGAAAGGTGTGAAAAATCTCTTGGGGTGATGGGGGGAGTGTGCTGTTTTGAATTGGGAATAAAATGGAGGAGTGGGGTTCTGCTCCTGCTTCTCCCTCTCGATTGCCTTGGAACACACAGTACCTGCCTCCAACTCTGCAATGACCAGATCTCTGCTCCAGGCGCACAAATCAGGGCCGCCCAGACCTCCCTGTGTTTGGGAGATGCTGAGAAGAACAGGTGGGGACTAACTGCCTTCCAGCAGTTGCCTACTCATCACTCCCTCCAGACACCCAGATTGGGGAATGACATTTTAGGGGTGAGTACTCCCAATGTTCCTCTCTAGAGAGCAAAGCATGAAAACATGAATTGAGGAGTTGTTTCGTGGGGTGAGGAGTGACTAGCCATGTTTTTTTGGTGCCTCCCTCTGGAGCTCATCTACTCCCCACGTCTCGAGCTCATTGGGGCCTGCCAGGCAGAACAGAATATACTCCCGGAGGATATAGTAGAGGACTCTCCTCTACTCTCACTACTTCATTTCTGACACTTCTGGTCACCAAATGTGTGTGGGATTTTCCTACACTAAGCAATTCTGCAACACCAGCTGGGTGTCCTACAATTGAACTCAGTTCTGACACTATCTGGAGTTAGCATCAGATCCCACAGGTTAAGGCCATCACCACTTTCAAAAGAAAACTGTAAACTGTATCATCTTCAGAATAAGAATTTTAAATTAGACTAATAAACATGTTAAAATATATAAGAAAGATATTGGAACCATAAAATAAGAACACAAAAACATCAAAAAGAACCAATAAGAAATACTAGGTTGAATACATAACAGTTGAACTGAAGAACAGAAATATTCTGTTGAATAAACAGCAGAATGGAGACAGCTGAGAAATGAATTAGTGAACTGGAATAACATAAATTCCCCAAAGGAAAAAAGAAAGAACAAAGAAACAGAAAATATACGGCCTTGTGGACACAGAGATACAGATCTTTGTGAAGACCCTGATGGGCAAGACCATCACCCTCAAGGTCGAGCCCGGTGACATTATTGAGAATGTCAAAGCTAAAATCCAAGACGAGGAGGGCATCCCACCTGACCAGCAGTGTCTGACTTTTGCGGGCAAACAGCTGGAGGACGGCGGCACTCTCTCAGACTGCAATATCCAGAAAGAGTCCACCCTGCACACGGTGCTTCGCCTGCGGAGTGGCATCATCGAGCCTTCCCTCCGCCAGCTCGACCAGAAATACAGCTGCGACAAGACGATCTGCCCCAAGTGTTATGCTCGCCTGCATCCCCGCGCTGTCCACTGCTGCAAGACGAAGCGCGGCCATGCCAACAACCTGCGCCCCAAGAAGGTCAAATAAGGCCCCGCCTCTGGCTCCTCCTTTGCCCGAAGGGCAGCCTCCTGCCTGAGCCCTGCGGCCCTGGGGCCTCAATAAAGTTTCCCTTTCATTGACTGGAGCAGTGAAAAAACAAAACAAAACAAAACAAATATATATATATATAAAATAAAAAATATATATATAAAATAAAAATATATATAATAAAAATATATTATATATATATAAAATAAAAATATATATAATAAAAATATATAATATATATATAAAAAATATATATATATAAAAGCTAAGAGATATGGAGGATAAAAGTAGAAGTCATAACATTTAGAAAATAGGAGTCCTGGAAGGAGATAAAAATGGAGAGGAGGACGGCCGGCCCTGTGGCTTAGCGGTTAAGTGTGCGCGCTCCGCTGCTGGCGGCTCGGGTTCGGATCCCAGGCGCGCACCGACGCACCGCTTCTCCAGCCATGCTGAGGCCGTGTCCCACATACAGCAACTAGAAGGATGTGCAACTATGACATACAACTATCTACTGGGGCTTTGGGGAGAAAATAAATAAATAAATAAAAATTATAAAAAAAAATGGAGAGGAGGAAATATTTGAAGAAATAATAGAGATAAACTTCTCAAAATTAGAAAAAAAAAAGATGAAACATGAACACTTACGATTTGTGCATTTCACAGATCCTAAATTATTCCTCATCAAAAAAATGCTTTTAAAAAGGTGGAATACGTCAAAGAGGAGAGAGAAAAAAAAACCCTACGGTTAGAAACATTTGGGGGAAATTTAAGATAATCAGAGACAAAGAGAATATTCTAAAAGTTTCCAGAAAGAAAAAGTGGATCACAAATAAAGGAACAAGAAGCTTACTGACATTAGATCTTCCAACAGCAATACCAGATACAAGGAGACAATGGAGTAGTGTTTCAAAGTAATGAAGGAAAAGATCCTAGAACTTAGAATTTTACATCCAGCCAGACTATCATTTAAACGTGAGGCCATGATAAAAGTATTCTCAGGTAGACAAGGCCTCAGGAAGTTTGCTCTAAGAAGATCCACATTAAAAACAGTTTTGGACAAAGTATATAAATCAAAGAAGATAAAATTCAGAAGATACTGCAAGAAACAGATGAAAAGGTAATCATATATAAAGGTAATCAAAATCTTATAAAATTTATTATTGTGTTAAAAATAGCTAAGACCAAAGAAAAAGAGGAAATGCGTCCATAAAACCAATAAAGTCAGAATTAAAAATAATTTTTACCCAGGTGGGTTCAGAGGTGGGAATATACTAGGCAAGGGCCTTTGCACTTCTGTAGGTTAGAGGTACAGAAATGAATTCAGAGCCCCAACACCCCCACCAACACCCATCCCCAGGCAGGAGAGCCCCTTTGTTTGGCAGTGTCCATTCTCTCAGTTCAAGATTAATGCCCCACTTCAGCCTTTGGAAAGCACCTTTCGTCTTTTTCCCTTTCTGAGATTTTCCCTGCATTTCTCAGGCAGTTTTGTGCACCAGCTGTCATGTGGCACTTGGCTTGCTTACAAGACAGGTTGGGAACTCCTTTAACCTTGGAGTATACAGGACCCTGGGGGAGCTGCAGATGATCCCCAACTTCTGGGATGGCACCTCTGTGTGGAGGAGGGAAGAGATGATTCGATTCCTCAATATAATCCCTCTTTTGGAAATACATCTCTTCTTTCTTAGTTGCCTAGCAAAAACCCAAGCCCGGATGAGTCTGACACCTGCCTTCTCCCTACCTGCACCCAACTGCTGAGGGGGAAAAAATCACACAGCCAGTTACTGGTTTCACTTTACATTTATGACTACAAAACTCAAAGGGGTTCTGAACATTGTCCTGCAATTCTACTCCATTTGTCTAAGAGGTGATATGCTCTCTTTTCTTTCTTCAACCTTCCCACACCCTCCCCCTTACTCTCCGCTGGTGACCTTAACCTCACACTTCTTTGGGAAAATAGAGGCTGTCAGATTTTCCCACCTTTCGCCTGAAGTCTGTCCACACTTGGACTCGCCTTGCCTTACTTTCTTCTTTCTTATGTAAACAGAGATGAACGCCTCCACTTGCGCCATCCTCTCACCTCCTCAAGGACTTTGTTCTTGCTGGGAGCTTCCTTCCCTGCATTATCAGTCTCTCTCTACTACTGGATCATTCCATCAGCATACAAATAGAATCTTTCATTTCATGTATCTTTGATCTTTAAACAAACAATCCTCCCTGCCTTGACCCCACATCTCCTTCCAGTTCATGCCCCTTATGTAATGAAACACCTCCAAAGGGTGGTCTGCACATTGTCTCAACTTCAACTTTTTCACTTTTTTGTTTTGGCTCCAGATTGTCTTAAAAAAAGAAAGAAAACATTACAGTTATGGTTGGGCTTCCAGTTTAAAAATCGCTTCCTCCTCAAACCCTTCTAAAATGATCATAAAAGAATAAAAAAGGTGTGGCGCTGGCCCAGTGGCGCAAGCCGTTAAGTGCACGCGCTCCGCGGTGGCGGCCCGGGGTTCGCCAGTTCGGATCCCGGGCGCGCACCGACGCACCGCTTAGCAAGCCATGCTGTGGCGGCGTCCCATATAAAGTGGAGGAAGATGGGCATGGATGTTAGCCCAGGGCCAGCCTTCCTCAGCAAAAAGAGGAGGATTGGCAGATGTTAGCTCAGGGCCGATCTTCCTCACACAAAAAAAGAATAAAAAAAGTGTAAACCCATAAGAACGAAGAGAGTGGGGGAGGAGACCAAGCAGAGGCACGGCCAGCAGTGTTTGCGCCAATGACGGTGGATGACCACTCAGAACTCAGGAGAGAAGCTGAGACCTTAGTGCCCTGGGGACCCACAACCAGATGAGACCAGGAGGAAGGAAGCGGACGCTTGCATTCAAAACTTTGGGAACCATGACATCACCCTTGGGGGATGCTTAGTGAAGCCCCATCGATGCATCTGGATTTTTGGTACCAAACATTTGAGGAAAGCCTCTACCATAAAAGACAGAGACCCACAAAAATGAACAGAAAAAGTGGAACTGGGGCAAAAGCATACAATGCAGAAAAACGAAGAAAACTCGGACGCATGAGTTTTCCCACTCTCTTTCTAACTCTTGACCCCAAGGGCTACCTTCAGGCAGTGCTCAGCCTGGGCACCCTGGCCTGGAGGGGACAGGCCAACAACTTTTCTCGTCCAAGACAGGCTTTTGTGGCAATGAGGTAGGCCCTGGAGATCCTAGAGCTCTGAGGGAACATCTAACACTCAAATCTAAATCATTCTCCGTTACTTACATGATAAAATCTAAATTTGAGTGGCATTTCTGAAATTTCTTAAACTCTTGTTCTGAATTCCTGCCCTTGGTTCTTCAGTCAACTTGTCATCCCCCATGCTATGGTCTGAATGTTCGTGTCACCCCAAATTCATATGTTGAAATCCTAATGCCTGGTGTGATGGTATTAGGAGGTGGGACCTTTGGGAGGTGCATAGGTCATGAGGGTAGAGCCCTCACGAGTGACATTAGTGCCCTTATGAAAGAGTCTTCAGAGAGATCCCTCGCCCCTTCCACCAGGTGAGGACACAGAAAGAAGGCGCTGGCTATGCACCAGGAAGGGGACCCTCACCAGTGAGCAGCCAGGCTGGTGCCTTGATCTTGGACTTCCCAGCCTCCAGAACTATGAGAAATAAATATCTGTTGTTTATAAGCTACTCAGTCTGTGGTATTTTATTATAGTAGCCGGGACAGAGTAAGACACCTTCAAAACACAAACCCAGCCCATCCTTTCCTTTCCAGGTCTGCACTACCTCCAGGCAGTGGCAACAAACTTTCCTCAAACTCTAGGGATCTGGGAGAGGGGTCAGACACTGCCAAGGGGAACTGCAGCGAGAACAAGATATATGGAACCTTAAAAGAAGCCAGGCACACAGGGATGATACATACTGTGTGATTCCATTCACATGACATTCTGGAAATGGCAAATCTAAAAAGACAGAACTCAGGGCCGGCTCCGTGGCTTGGCGGTTAAGTGCGCACGCTCTGATGCTGGCGGCCCGGGTTCGGATCCCGGGGGCGCCCCGAGGCACCACTTCTCCGTCCAACGTGAGGCCGAGTCCCACGTACAGCAACTGGAAGGATGTGAACCTATGACATACAACTATCTACTGGGGCTTTGGGGGGAAAAAACTGAATAAATAAAATCTTTAAAAAAAAAATAAAAAGACAGAACTCACATCAGTGGTTATCAGAGGCTGGCAGTGGGGGAGGGGAGGGCAAAGGGGCACCCGAGCACATTTTGGGGTGATGAAAATGCTCTATATCTTGATAGCTGTGGTGCTCATCCGATTATATACACATTCATCAAATTTCTTTGAACTGTCGGCTTAAAAAGGGCGTAAATCCTTAAAGATTACAGAGTGAGTAAAAATGTTAAAGAGTATAAATTATACCACAATAAACCTGACTTAAAAAAAGAGAGATGGGGGGCCTGCCTGGTGGCGCAAGCGGTTAAGTGCACGCGCTCCGCTGGGGCGGCCCGGGGTTCCCCAGTTGGGATCCGGGGCGCACACCGATGCACCACTTGTCAAGCCATGCTGTCATGGCGTCCCATATAAAGTGGAGGAAGATGGGCATGGATGTTAGCCCACGCCAGTCTTCCTCAGCAAAAGAAGAGGAGGATTGGCAGATGTTAGCTCAGGGTCTATCTTCCTCAAAAAAAAAAAAAAAGAGAGAGAGAGATGGGAAGGCACAGGGATATCTGACCACCTGGGTTCAAATCCCACCGCGAACTGTGCTGTAGTTTAGAGCAGGCAAGTTACTTCATCTCTCTGACTCCGCTTCCCCGAAGATACCAACAGGATCTACCTCCGAGGGTGGAGGTAAAGATTAAAAAAAGAAAGCGCCCGTAAAGCGCCTGGCCGACGGCTCAAGCGCCTGCTCGCAGGTTTACTTGCGCTCCCACCCCTTCGGTGCATCCCTTGGAGGGGAAGCAGAGGCCACAGGCTCTGGCACTCTCACTGTCTTGCTCTGCGACTTCGGGAGAGGAGTGGGACAAGAGGAGCAAGGCAGCCGCGTCCCAGGGGGAGCCCTGCCGCCCTCCTACCCGTGACCCGGGAGCAACAGCCCC